AACAAAATCCAGCAGAGCTCCCATCATTTTAGGCAGACCGTTCATGAAAACGGCAAAAACAAAAATTGATGTTGACGATGGAACCATGTCCATGGAATTTGGTGACATTGTCGCAAAATTCAACATTTTTATACCATGAAACATCCCCTGGAGGAGAATTCCATTTTTCACATTGAGTTGATCTCTGGATTGGTTGATGACACTTGTTCTGAATTATTTTTCATTGATTTTCCGTCTTTATCTGGATTTGATGATGTTCACTTGTGTTCTGATTGTACTGACAATAACTTGTGTGTTGTGTGTGCTGAGATTGATGCTACCTTGCAGGCTGATGTGTTTCCTACAGGTGAAGTTGTTATTGATGAAGTTGTTTTTGCAGCTGATACCCTTGACATCCCTGCTGCCCCAAACACTCCATCCATAGAGCATCCCCCGTCCTTAGAGATGAAACAACTCCCTGAAAACCTGAAATGCGCTTATTTCGTTTTGAAGAAGCATAAGAAAGGAATTGGATGGACCATAGATGATATTTATGATATTAGTTCGTCCATGTGTATGCATAGGATCTCACTTGAAGATGTAGCAAAAGCAGGGAGGCAACCCCGTAACCTTTTGATCCTTGATGTTGTGAAAGATGAGATCACGTTCACGTGCCCATTTGACACTTTTAATTTTAGAAGAACATTCTTTGATCCAGGAATAAAAAGTGAAGGTACTGATAAAAATTGCAAAGTCAAAGAACACCGCCTCAAGCTATTCCATGAGAGTCCCACGTTGGAAGAGGAAACTATAAAAGTGCTCTCGTTGGGAAAGACTACTTATGCGATCATCTATCCGCCTTGACTTCTCGGGTGTGTTCTTTCCTCTCTCTCCTCTCTCTTATTTTATGCTTGTTTCGTTCAATGAGGACAATGTGTGTTTTAAGTGTGGGGGAGACAATTATTTATTTGTTTTGTTTTCTTTGCTTTTGTTCGTTGTTTTATTTTTAGTTATAAAAAAAATATGCATCTTTTTGAAAGTTTTGGGTTATAGATTAATCTGAGGTTAGTTGTGGAGACTCGGGAAAAGTTCACAAGATCGGTATCATCTTAACACTGTAAGTCTCATGCATATGGAAGTTAATTTGAATTTTTATTATGACGTAGCCTTGAATTCTCATCTTTTAATAGCTCTTGAGTAGTTTATTTCAGCAGTCGGCACCATCTCACACGCACTCTACGCAGGGAAGCCGATGAAAATAAGTGAGTGATCCAAGTTTTATTTGAAAAAAAAGGAAAGAAAAAGGAATGCGCCTTCTAAATTTTGTGACCCTCACCCGGTCACTTAACCCAACGGTTATAGAGCATACAAAAAAGTTGATAATAAGACTCGTTGTTAGTTGATTCAGCGGTTTCTGGTGCTGAACTTGGTAGGGTGGATTACAGTCCAATGCCCCGCAACTACAACTGAGTAAGCAAAGGGTTATGCCATGTAAGTACCAGAACTTCGTGCAAAAAGGATCAGAGTCACTAACCGGTCGCCTTGCTATGAGTGTATGGAGATAACGGGCTTAATGTGATTGCGCCTGAATGAAAAAGAGCAAAAAGAAGGATGAGTAAGTTAGGCTTTGGCATAATAATATGATTTGAATTGGTTTGCATATTCAAGAGATAAGATTAGTGTTCCTACAATATCCTTAGTGTGCAAGATTAGTACCTATTGATGCAATCTTAACCGGAGAAGAGTTTGTAGCCTAGAATGAGTAGCTGATGATGCTGTTGTGTTTCTTTTGATTTTATTTTGCTCGGAGTGCAAAAGTTCAAGTGTGGGGGAATTTGATCAGTGAATTTTGATTCACATTCTTCCATGATTGTACTTATGCATTTCCATGGTTTGTTTAGCTTATTTTTGTATTTTATAGTGTTTTTCTATTTTAGTTTATTTCTACTCTTATTTGATTTTCGCACTTTATTTTTAGCATTAGCAATCTGCACGAATAAATTCATAACTTGAGCTACATGAGTCGGAATGAGGCGTGCTACCAGTCGTTGAAAATCTAAGAGAAAGAGCTACGATTTTCATTCAGAAGTCGAGAGCTGAATCGCACTGTAGCAGGGCCATAAAATTCGTTGAAGTTGCAGCATTTTATATTTAAGTTTTGGGTCATTTATTTTGGGCCTGGGTTATGTTTTCGACCCAATTGGGTTATGAACCGAATCCCTGTCCTTGCTATACCTAGCAGCCGCTACAATAATTTCGTTTTGATCTTTTCATTATTCAGAAAGAAAACTTTGACTTGTACGCTTGAATGAAGAACTAATCATCCAGAGTTGATCTACTGTAATCGCATTCCGATGCTTTGAGGTTTTTAATTTATCAATTCAATTCCGTTTCTCTTTCAATTCTATTTTATGAAATTGTATTTGCTTAATCTATTATTTCATGGAATGTCTTGATTAAATTCGTATGATTGTATTCCTAATCTTTAATCGTTGTTTACGTTGCTTAGTCGTTAAATCGCGTTCTATATCGTGTTTGCTTAATTCACGATTGTATTAATCCGTTTGCTTAATTCGGAATAGGAATTCAATCTATTTTATATCCATTGCGCTTGTCAATTGATATTGAAATTGAATAGAGGTCGAAGCCGCTTAGGGAATTGGTAAGGTAAAAACCAATGATTAGCAGGAACCTGAAAACAGTAGATCGACTTATTTTTATAATCACTTATTTTAATCACTTATTTGCTCATCTCTTTAAAAATTGATCCTGAATTAAATCCCCCATAACCACTTATGTTGGTTAATAACAATACAAGAATCCTCGTAATACGATACTTGAGTCATTGTCGCTAAACTACATTTTTTTTAAAGTAACTCGTTTTTGATCCGTCCACGACAGCAGATCATTCTAACAGTTAGCACTTGAGTTTAGAGATGTCACCACGATGTTTCAAAGAACCGTGGTGACTTTGCCGTTGTTGTTTGCATGTTTGTAGTAGTGTTAGGAGATATTTTACCGAGAAATTTGTAGAATCTGATTTTAACCGCCCTATCCTTGAGGGGGTTTCTCTTAAATCTCTTTCTCTAGAAAAGTGAACTTCGTTGGAAGAGCCGTTTTCAGAGTCAAAGATTAAGGAGGTTGGGTTTGTGGACTTCGCTATCGGTTTTAGGTTCTATATGGAAATCTCATGTTTCTTTTAGGATTAAAGCCTTCGGGTGGAGGTGTTTGTATAAGGATCTTTTGTATTATAGGGACATTATTTTATCTTCCAATGAATTTCTGTGTTTTTTGTTCGGAGCTAGGAGGAAATATTTGGAATTGTTTATGCTTTTGGCTATTTGAATGTAGGAAGAAAGAAATGAAGAAAGACAAAGATAGTTCTATTTGATTGGTTCTATTGTGGGGCATCTGATTTTTAAGGAATGGGGTAATCTTTAACGGCGCTAGTGCTTGTGTATCTGATTTAGGCTGAAATATCAAATTGAAGGTTCAGAAATAGTCTTGTATCCGTAATATTTCTACTACCAAGTGTAACTTTTACGAATTCTACAAAGATCTTTTATATTATTTAAATTAAATTTCATTTAGTTGGAAATATTTCCTTTTTCAAGCTATGCTCACAATCTTTTGTGAACAGATCAGAGTATCCCTAACTCTCTTATATGAATCCTTACTTATAAAAAAATATAATACATGGAAAATATAGATTTATGGAAAGTTACATAGATAGATGAATTTGATTGGTTAGAATAATCTTCGAGAGAAAATACTTGAGTATATAGATAAATGAATTTGATTTGAGTTACAGTAATCTTCAAGAGAAAAAAACTCGAGGTCGGGAATCTTGCTTTCAAATGAATAGTGATATCTTGAAGAAAAAAAATTATGAGACATGCAATTGAAAACTAAATAAATATATGAATAAATGGATTTAAAACATGTACAAAATAAGTACTGGAGTCTTGCTTAAATAAAAATTTGATAAATATAAAAAAGTTGTGGTTGGAAAAAGTGTAAACTCGTGAAACATTTTAAAATAAATGATCAAGTTTATTAAAACGAAGAAATGAAGAAAAATGTACTCACCCAAATAAATAGAATCTGGTTGAAAATAAAGATGCATGGTAAGAACACCAATCATCATATAAAGTATTTATTAAAATGTTAAAATTTGACATAAAATAAAAATTGTATAAACTCAAAAACTATATAATGAAAATTGCAAAAAAAGTAATGTTTCTAAATTGTAAGCAAAGATACAAAGATTGTAACATAAAATTTAGTAATGATTATTCATTATGGTTATAGAATCTAAGCTTCAAAATTAATAGGATAAAAAAAGAAAGAGAGAAAGAGAAACCTTATCTAAAATATTGTAAGTCCAAGCTTCTCTTGGTGCTCTTTAAGGGACCAAAAACAAACTTCATCCACTCAATAACTCACCCCTATCGTTATTGCAATAGCCAACAAACTTCTTTCCTTAACCACCACCAACCCTTATTTTACACCACTCTCTCTCTCTCTCACTCTATATGCTTCATTGACACAAGGCTCATTTCCACTTGAACACCCTATTTCCAACCTTTGCAGTTTTTGCCATTTTTCAACTCTTTATTGGTCAGTTTCTTTCTATCTTCAATACCCTTTTCGTCCTTTTTCTTAAAGATTTGTTTTTGCCATTCAAAATTGTATCTTTATAGTTTCTTGCTAGTGAAAATTTATGATGCTTCTTTTAGAATATGCTTTAACTTTATGCAGAAGTAACTTTTTCATCATGTTTAGTAGCTATGAAAGAATTTGGATTAACTTTTATTGTGTGATAATATCTATGCATTTATAGATGTTAATTTGAATAAAATACCAAAAAGCAATGTTCTTGGTAAACTTTACTCTCTTTTAAGTGTTATTGCATATTTTTTGAATGATTATTTACTTTTTGATTGGTTTTTTGTGTCTGAATGAATATTATTATGCAATGTGCATGCTGTTTGATTCATTTTTTTGTTGTTGAGTAGAAAATGGCGCAGATTTTGGCACCTTCGACGCAATGGCAGATGAGAATCACGAAAACCTCTCCGTGTGCAACTCCGATTACATCAAAGATGTGGAGTTCTTTAGTTGTGAAACAAAGTAAGAAAGTTGCGCGTTCTGCTAAATTTAGAGTGATGGCAGTCAACTCTGAATATGGCACCATCAATAGGGTGGAGGATTTGCTTAACTTGGACATCACTCCATTCACCGACAGCATAATTGCCGAGTACATATGGTATTTCGTTCTACTCCGTCTTTTTTGGCATTTATTTCACTGTGTCTGATACTTACCAGTATCGACGTGTTCAGTGTTCATGGTGGTGTTACTGTTATGAGGATACAAGGTGGTTAAATCTGTGATACTTTTTTCTGAAACAGGATTGGTGGAACAGGAATCGACGTGCGCAGCAAATCAAGGGTATGTTATTTCAAATAAATATTCATACTACAGTATTGTTTGATCTATCTTATGCTATTTGATGTATTCTTATATGTATGTTTTTTATTCTCAGACCATATCAAAACCTGTTTCGCATCCCTCCGAGCTTCCTAAGTGGAACTATGATGGATCTAGCACTGGACAAGCCCCTGGTGAAGATAGTGAAGTGATCCTATAGTAAGATTTTTTGTACCGATACTTCTAAGATGTTACTAGTTACTACTTACTAGTTTTACTGCACACATTGTTTTTTTTTTATTTTTAACTTTGGCCTTTTCTTTCTTCCTCAGTCCTCAAGCAATTTTCAAAGATCCTTTCCGTGGCGGAAACAATATTTTGGTAAGAGGTGTTATTATACTTGAAAGCTGTTTCATTTCATGCCGTGTTGATTGAAATTTATGAAATTAATTGGGTTATTTTGTTTTGCGAAGGTCGTTTGCGATGCATATACACCAGCAGGTGAGCCTATCCCTACAAATAAGAGACACAAAGCTGCTGAAATCTTCAGTAACCCAAAGGTTGTGGCTGAAATTCCATGGTATGTATTACACGATTTATCTTTTTAATATTTCCAACTGTTTTTGAATGTTATATAAAAATGTAACTCAATGATGCACAGACCTCTTAAATATGAAGATAACTGAACTTTTTTTGGTGGCGAATTATAATCTTAACAGAAAACATGCTGATGATGTTGTATGTTGATTGTTCAAAGGTATGGAATAGAACAAGAGTACACTTTACTTCAAACAAATGTGAAATGGCCATTAGGTTGGCCTGTAGGTGGCTATCCTGGTCCTCAGGTAATACCACTTTTGTGTATTATTTCAACTATTTCGAGAACCTTAAAGTGTAGATTTTTACTTAAAATGTTCCTTCATATATCAGGGTCCTTATTACTGTGCTGCCGGAGCAGATAAGTCATTTGGACGTGATATATCTGATGCTCATTACAAGGCTTGTATATATGCTGGAATTAACATCAGTGGCACCAATGGAGAAGTTATGCCTGGACAGGTAAAAATCTCCTTCTGTTTCATGTGTTATAGTCATAGACACAAACATAGATAAATAAAAACGACATTGACATTAACCCGGGAAAATGAAATATGTGGATATAGTCACATGTATCAGATACTAACATGTGTCAGACACACCTTCATGGTATTTATAGCATAGGTTATGATTATCTGAACTGTTTTTCTCACTATTCTTTTATGAATATTGCAGTGGGAGTATCAAGTTGGTCCTAGTGTAGGTATTGAAGCTGGTGATCATATCTGGGCCTCAAGGTACATCCTTGAGGTAATTCCATTTAACCGACTTTTTTGGCTTTTCACATATATATAATATTGAACAATTTGATACAGAAACTTGTATCTTGGAATTGAATATGTTGCAATTTGTTTGTTTTGATAGAGAATTACTGAACAAGCTGGAGTTGTGCTCTCTCTTGATCCAAAACCAATAGAGGTACTAATCTATAATATGCTTTACTTGGCATTATTATTTCTTACCTTATACTAACTAATTCTACTAATTTGGTTTTAATCTTGACAGGGTGATTGGAATGGTGCAGGATGTCACACCAATTACAGGTTTTCTTGGCATATCTTTGTTATGAATCATAATTGCACATGTCTTAACATTTGACTAGTTGGTAACTAATATTATTATTTGATGTTTAGTACAAAGAGCATGAGGGAAGATGGAGGGTTTGAGGTGATAAAGAAGGCCATTTTGAACCTTTCCCTTCGCCACAAGGTCCACATTGAAGCATACGGAGAAGGAAACGAAAGAAGGTTGACAGGAAAGCATGAGACAGCCAGCATTGACAATTTTTCTTGGGTAATATTTTGAATTTCTATTCTTGTTAAACACAAGAATCAAACACGAACATAAAAGTATATCATCATCTCGTGTGTAACATTCTTATAAAATTGAACATGCAGGGAGTAGCTAACCGGGGATGCTCAATCCGTGTGGGAAGGGACACTGAGAAGAATGGCAAAGGTGAGCCGCATGATTTTTAATATTCAAAGTTTGATATACATGTTGTTTAGCGTCCGGACTGCCTTGATTGCAGGTTACTTGGAAGACAGGCGTCCGGCTTCAAACATGGACCCGTATGTGGTAACAGCACTACTGGCAGAAAGTACATTATTGTGGGAACCAACTCTAGAGGCTGAAGCTCTTGCAGCTCAGAAGCTTGCATTAAAGGTCTAAATCTATTGACTTTCCAGGTGGAGACTGTGAGGAGCTGAGAAGCTCTTTTAGATGATTTATATTTATATTATGAAATTCTTGTTTCCTGGACAAATGAGGCTGCCATACCTAGTTACTGGTTATGAGTGAATGCACATTGTATTTGCATATGGTATGGACAGAATTTGCATTGGTGATTTGCTTGCTTATATCTTTGAATTTAGTTTTCTTTTTCTACAAATTAATCACTCAGGTCTCAGCTCATGTACACCTTAAAATGATTGGTTCATGTGTTTCTAGAAGCATGTCACCTATAATCCTCTTTTCTAACAACTAACTTTGTAAAGTACAAATAAAATAGTGTTCTTAAAATCTAACATGAGTCTAACTCGACCTTACACAATTGATTTGATCATGAAGAGACGAATTAACTTCACTTATAAATACACAATTGATTTGATCATGAAGAGACGAATTAACTTCACTTATAAATACACAATTGATTTGATCACGAAGAGAAGAATTATCTTCACTTATAAAAATATTTTCACATAAGATGAAAATAATAATATTTCTATTAAAAAAACTAGAAAAGGATATTGTTTTTTTACTTAAATGCATTTTCCCCTCTATATTAATCAAAATAAGTTATTAGTCCCTCGATATTTAAATGTAGTTTATTGGTCCCCTTTATATTTGTCTTAGAAATTTCTTGATTTCCATGGTTTTTGATTATGTGAAATTGCTGAATTGGATAGAATATAATTATTTTAATCAATATCCATGTCAATGTTTTATTATTAAATCATTTAAAAACTTATAATAGTATTTAAAAATAATTCATAGAATTAATAATATATTATATTTAAAATTTCAATAGCAATTATAAATATAAATCTAATTAATTTTTAGCTAAAATTGTTCACGAATTGGAGGGGAGTTTTTATAGCTAAATTACTATAAACTTTGAATGCAAAATTATGGACCGTGTTATCATATTATTCACTTTGATTTACATCTTATAGCGTAACACAAAGTCAAACTTCTTCAAAGGAACTTCAATATTGAAATCATTCTTTTCCCTTATTGTCATTGTCATTACCACGCCAAAAAAAGAAAAAGAAAGCTTAAACTCTAAATTTAGTCGAATTCACTGCCAAATCGACTTTTTTTCTCATGAATCAAGATCTCTTAGTTCTCCTTGCCAATCCTTGTCAGCATACTGCCTATTTCGGTGGGAAACATAAAAAAGGTAGTTGAATCCACCTGATATAGTGATGGATGTTTGAGGTGGACGGAAAGGGGGTGTACCTGCAAGATTATCACTTTAACGCCAAAGTCACCAAAGTATGACAATTAGAATCTTCCCCGATGGACACGACACCATGTGCAAGAACCGTTGGATGGACATCAATGGTTGAGATGTAGCGACACCTTGCTTTAGTGAGGGGCTCCCCAATGAGAGTACACATGTTCGCCAATTTGAGTGGGCGTGATATTTGGATTGGGCATTTGTGTCGGGTCAATCTTATTGGACCGTTTGGCCAGTCCAGAACAATTGTCCCCCAAGTCCTTGCTCTCAGTCATGAAGTCGTGATTTTTGTTGTGGGAGCACTAAGACCGGCCCCGGAGCGAGCTTCATTCTGAAAGTGTGAGATTAGTTGGGATGACTCTCACCGAGAGGGAGAATTCGTCAAAAGGTTGAATGAGAGTAAGTGGTATTGGTAACACGCACATTAAATACTTGTCTCGTCATTGAAACATTACTTCAGAAACTTCCTAGATACACAACCAAGATGCCTCCTCTTCCAGATCAGGAGAAGGCTCCAAACATATGTGATCAACACACATTTTCTTAGCACCCAAAGCATTTGTATCTGCAATGCCATTTCAACAGAAATCTTCATAACTTGTTGATGTGAAGTTCTAACATCTGGTAGGACATCATTCCAAGAGACATAACAAGAGATCCTTTGCCAAAGACCAGAAATTGGCCTTTTAGGGTTGAAAGCAAAAATAAATTTCTTATTACTTTCTTCAGATCTCTGTTCAACAAACTCACTTAAAAGTGCCTTTATGAGTGGACTTGAGATTAGACATGGCAATATAACCCATACCCATGGATACCCGCCCAAATTCGCCCCGAATTTGATGGGGAAAACCCGCTTTGATTGGGTTTAGATTCGGGTTTGGGTTTTCCCCGATTTCAAGATATGGGGACGGGGCGGATAATAGGGAGTGTAGTACCCACCCCGAACCCTCCCAGTATATTATTATTATTATTATTATTATTATTATTATTATTATTATAATATATATGATTTAACAATATATGTCGCTACAGTATCACAATTATATGCCGCTACAATATCCCAATTTGTTAAATCTATCTATTGTTATAGTTTTTTGGTTTATTTGATTTGTTAATTTGAAATATTAATTGTATGATTGATAAATTAATACTTTTGTTAGTATTTTATTATTCGAAATATATGTTTAAAATTCTTCGAGATTATATTTTATATTTGTAATATAAGTTAATATATGTTAAGATTGGGGCAGGTTTTAGGTTCAGGGTGAATTTTGGATTTGGGGAAGCTTTTGGGATTTAGACATATTTTGGGTTTGGGGGCGGACGGGGATCCCCGAACCCATTTGAAGTGGGTTTAAGATTCAATTATTCATCCTCGACAGGGATTGGAGCGGGTAACAGGGATTTATCTTGAATTCGGGTTTGGGTTTGGGGAATATAAAAACCGTCTCGCCCCGTTGCCATGTTTACTTCAGATGGACCTCAGGCATCTTTGGTAACTTTAGCAGGCTGATTGAAAATAGCCTCCAAGTATAACTACAATACATGATACACATTCAGAGAGGAATATATCCCAAGCTCTTTGTATTACCAGGGTAAACCTCGCTAGAGACACACAAAACCATCAAGAGTTTTTCAGATACATACGCAACAGATCACACATCAACAACTCCTCAGCATCCTTCAGGGCAGAACAAGATAACCATTCTACATCATCACCATCATACAGGTGACAACATAACATCAGATGTTTGAAAATAAATCAAACATAACCCAGAGAGCACAACAGCTCACTACCACAGTACAATTGATGACAACTTCATAGAAAATCATCAATCAGGTTGTTATGGATAACTCTCACTCCTGCTTCAAGATATCATCAAAACCACAACATGAATTTACCAAGCTCACATGGTAGGTACAATGTTATAATATTCGGTAAAACACCATACATAGATCAGAGTGTGAGAGAATCCCAACACTCTCATGCTTATAGCTTTCTCCTTGTTGATCTTATACTTTTAGAGAACAAATACACCATCTTGCTAGAATCTCCATCACTTCTCAGACTCCAGGTAGGATATCAAGAACATCTTATAGGACAACATACATAAGAGATATCCTTAATAGCAGCCATCAAGTAGACATCCAGCTCTTCCAAGGAAAGCCAGAACACCAGAAGACAAGTCAAACCTTACCACCCCAAGTTTACACAACAGAGGCATGTGAAATGGAGATAAATGCCTCACAAGTAACACTACATATATAGTAGTCACTACAAATAACACTTCAATCCTTCCATGTCCAAAGTATCAAAAAGTATTTTTCCCGATCTCACCCAGAACAGAACATGATGTCTGCTCTGATACCAATTGAAATTTTAGTATGCAGATTACAAATGTCCTAAAATGTGTTGAGACATTAATATTTATATAATAACGCATGGACGAGATAAAGCATACTGATATAAACATATCAGAACAAAGTCGTAACAAATGTTCCAACATCTTATATAACATGCCAATCAATCAAGAACAAAACATAAAGATAATAACACTGATATGATAACCCGGTTCATTGGACACACACTTACTCTGGGGGATACCAAGCCAAGAAGAAATTCTACTATCAGCAGTATTAGTTCAAAGTTAAACTCCCCCGTTTACAACTTCTCGCCTAATCCTTACCCAATGTAACTTCTACCTAGGAACATCCTAAATATGAGAAATCAGCATCCGACTTCTTAAATCACCTCAGTGATATTTTTATCAATTACAACCAGTTCAGTCAAGACTCTTGACTAATAAACATACTTGGATTTGCTTCAAAGCTTCATCCAAGAACAATATACATTCTATGTTTAAAAGCTTAAGAATGAACAACGGAGAATTACAACTCTATAACATTAGACCTACTCTCTTATCAACATGATACTTCGAGAAGTTCACACATACCAACTCTCCTGGAAAGTGGCTTACAGACTCAGTCCTAATAATCCAAACTTTTTATTTTCAACTGGTACCTTTTCTAGGTTAATAACCTTATATTTATAGCAATCTTCTGGACTGGATTGGGCTTTAATACCCCAACTGATATGTAGCAAGTAAAGCTGCAAATATATCTCCTAAATCATAGGACTTCTTATCATTAATTTCCTAATTTTTCTCCATAATTAGAAACTAATAAACTCCTTGAAATCAGCTCGACTCTTCTTCAATCTTCAATTTGAACACCACCTAAGATAGCATAATATTCTTAGAATATTATGCATTAGATAAATCTTAGACCAATCCAACAGCTCAACCCAACATGGTCACGATGTTGAATGATTCTGCATAGGACATATCATTCGATATGTTGCTTTAGTTGATGAAACATCTCAACTCAACATACTTCTTCATAAAATAGGACTTCTTGCTCACCACGTTAGAACGTCCTATTAAACATATTGTTGCAATATTTATTTTACTAAAATTAATGCCAATCATAAAATAGAGAACTAACACATACTATCAAATTAGGGAGGAAGTGGTAGACCCAATAAAAAATTAGAAACCCAACGACAAAATTTGTAGAAGTTACAAGGCTTGTTGGAGCCAGAGAGCAAGAAATGGAACAGGCTAAAGTGATGGATCCCACACGGGTTAAGCAACGAACCCCATGGATCGATATTATAGAGATAAGGGGAGGTGCTTCACTTAGATTAACA